ATCAACAGGGATTGGTAGACGCCACAGCCCCCGTCACTTCAGGCGTCTCACTGCTGCATATCACCGACCGCATCTCCGGCAGGAAATTTCTCGTTGACACAGGAGCGTCGGTCAGCATCATCCCTCCTTCACCGCAAGACACATCAAAGCAACCCTCATATAACCTGTTCGCTGCCAACGGTACCCCTATAGCCTCCTACGGCGCACACATCCTCGCCTTAGAGTTCGGTCTTCCCAAGACTCTGCGCTGGTCCTTCATGGTGGCAGATGTCTCTCAACCCATCCTTGGCTTCAACTTCCTCACCTTCCACAAGCTCGTCGTCGACCAAAGCAACCTCTGCATCATCCATGAGCCTACAGCACGCACGATACGGGGTACACGTGCCGCAGACACCGACACTATCACCTGCCTCTCGCCATCCAGTGAGTTCTCCCCCCTGCTCGAGAAGTTCAAGGAACTTTTCTCATCCCGAGTCTCTCCACCACCACCTACGTCTGGAATTTTCCACCACATCGAGACTAAAGTACCTCCAGTCTTCTCACGCCCTCGCCGCATTCGCCCTGAGCTCCTGAACGCAGCCAAGGCGGAATTCAACAGACTCCTGCAAGACGGCATCATTCGACCTTCAAAGAGTCCCTGGGCATCGCCTCTTCACATGGTTCCAAAGCCATCATCCAACGACTGGAGGGTATGTGGTGACTACAGAGCTCTGAACCTCGTCACCAAACCTGACAGGTACCCTATCCCGCATGTCCAGGACTTCCACATCAAACTCCATGGCAAGACCATCTTCTCAAAGATCGACTTGGAGCGTGCCTACCACCAGATTCCAGTAGCACCTGCAGCTACCCAGAAGACAGCCCTCGTCGCATCCCTGACGCCTGTCGAGCATCATCGCCACTTACAACGCCTGCAGAACAACAACATGAAAGTTCACCCTTCCAAGTGCATCTTCGGAGCCTTCTCCCTCGATTTCCTCGGTCACAGAGTCTCGCCAAGCGGCATCCAACACCTACCACAGAAGGTAATTGCCACCAAGGAGTTCGCCAAACCTGAAACGGCGAAGAAATTCCGAGAATTCCTGAGTTTAGTCAATTACTACCACCGCTTCATTGCCCACGCTGCTACCATCCTCGTTCCTCTCCACGATCTTCTCAAGGGACTCCCCGAGACGTCTCACAAGCCTCTCATTTGGACTCAAGAGGCTGTTATGGCATTCACCACTAACAAGCAGCACATCACACGCCTTACCCTCCTGGCTCACCCTGCACCCAATGCCCGGACCACTCTCACAACAGACGGGTCTTCTACTGCCGTGGCGCTGTCTTACAACAGGAAATCGACGGAATTCTCATGCCCATTGCTTTCTTCTCACAGCGGCTTCAACCACCCCACCTCAAGTACAGCGCCTTCGATCGAGAACTCCTGCCGTATACCTGGCTGTTAAGCATTTCCAGCACTTCCTCGAGGCCCGTCAGTTCACCATCTTCACTGATCACAAGCCCCTCGTCCACGCCTTAGATTCAGCCTCCCAGACACATACACTTCGTGTCCTTCGCCACTTGGCCTACATTTCGGAGTTCACCAGCGACATCCAACACATAAAAGGCAGCCACAATGAGATCGCTGACACCCTCTCTCGTTGTATATCCAGCATTCTTCCCTCATCTCCACCCATGGATTACAGACAGCTCGACGTGGCTCAAGCGAACGACAAAAACCTTGTAGTATACAAGATATCTCCCTCAGGTCTCGCCCTTCAAGAACTCCCCGTTCCCGGCACGAACATCAAGTTGTGGTGCGACATGTCCTGTGGGCAGCCTAGACCGTTTTTGCCCCACATCCACCGCACCACCATCTTCAACCGCATCCATGGTCTCAGTCACCCAGGTGTATAGGCCTCCCAGCGCCTCTTCACGCAACGTGTCGTCTGGCCCTGCATCAAGGCTGATACTAGGAAATGGGCTGCCCAGTGCCTGGCCTGCCAGTCCTCTAAGATACACCGACACACACGGGCCCCCTTAGAAACCTTTCCTGTACCCAAAGGATGCTTCCAGGTAGTGCACCTTGACATTGTGGGACCTCATCCATCATCCTGCTGCAACACCTACATCTTCACCTGCATTGACCGTTTCACCAGGTGGACAGAAGCCATTCCCATGCCTAATGCTACAGCAGAATCTGCCGTCTGTGCCTTCCTGTCCGGTTGGGTCTCCCGTTTCGGTCCCCCCACGACCATCATCATTGACCGAGGAGCCCAGTTTGAGTCTGGCTGCTTTGGCACCAGTTCAGCAATGCGTCTGAGCAGCGCGCTACCGCATACCACCCTCAATCCACTTCAGCGCGGTAGAGCGGTTTCACCAGCAGCTGAAGGACGCACTCAAAGGCACAGCACGACCCTTACAGCTGGACGGATGCGCTGCCCTTAGTGCTCCTCGGCATCCGTGCATCACACAAGGAGGACATGGACTGTAGCCCAGCAGATCACCTAGGCGAGCCCCTTAGCCTGCCGGAGAATTTCTCACTCCTCCTGACCTCCTTCATTCCTCCTGTTCGTCTGACTTACTCCAAAAAGCTTCGACAAGCAGTTTCTGCATTCAAGAGTACTTGCTCCATGCCAGCCTCCTCAACCTGAACATCAACATCCCTCCTGCCACTCGCTGCAGTATCATTTTTCGTCCAGGCATGATGCTCTACAACCCATTACACTACAGCCCTACGATGGACCCTTCTGGTTGTTGCCCGTTCAGCAAAGTTC